AAATGGTATTGACCCTACACAGTTAGATTTCAGTTGTGTTTTAGTTCACTGCAAGTCAAACTTTAAGATTTAGCAAGAATTATGAAGACCTCTGTTCCTGTTTTATCACAATCGTTTTACTTGGCTTGTTAATTTTCATTAAGATGGCACAATAAATTATAAAAGTGACAAAACTGAAATATCACAAAATGCATAAAGCCTATATCTGCAAAAGCACCTGAATTAACTTAAAAAAATCTCTGCACGGGTTTCCAGTAGGGCCAATAAAAATAATAGCTGAACGTCAGAGACATTTTATGTCGCATTGAAATGCATCATATAGTTAACATTAGAACAAAGACGTTTAAACACCGACATTGAGGACATACATACATGCGTGTGCGGACATGCACGTGCAAACTGAACACTATTTCCCCCATCGTTATCTAGAGATGACAAGATTATCTTTCGTAAACATGTTGGTGCATTTTCCAATACTGTCTTATAAATAACTTGTAATGTAATTAGTCATATCGAACTCCTGCTTGCTGCATGGTATAGTTTTGTTTACGTTCCAAATATATCTGTTGCTTATTCTTTATGCACATTGGTCTATCCGCTGTTTCACACCGTTTATAGTAGAGTTTATTAAACAATTTAAGTATTCAAAAGGTCGTTGAAAAATTAGTCATACACTTGATATCTTACACGAAAGAATAAAAAAGAATAGCAACCAAAACTGTGAAAAATTCCAAATAAATTCAACAAACGAAATCGTGTAATTTCAGGCAATGATTCCTCGTTGCTTTTTCATTGCAAAAATCCTTCAAAATGTTGAACTCTTAAGTACTTCAAACATCAATCCCATAATGAATTGTAATGACACGCTAAAAACGAAGAACATCTTATGTCTTTCGAAAATGGCTGAACGTGATAAATCACAGCCTTTTAATTCAAAATCCAAACAGAAAGTATTTTCTCGACCGAACGTTCAAAAGTTAAACCTATACTAGCTACCGAGCTTCTGGGTGTAAAACGTTTGCAAGTATCGGAAGGTTTACAAATGTAAAAACGTTGACTAGAAGTGACATGTATCAGATCATGAATTCACAATGTCGAACAATACCGTTGCACATTGTTGCACATAAAAAAGTTTTATTGTTTAGCTCAATTATCATTTGACTTAAAATAACAGTCAAATTAAAATAATAAAGGAAGAAAAGCTATTCAACCGACACAGTCAAATTTCAGTTGTGTGTTCAGTTCACTGCAAGTGAAACAGAGATTTAGCTACAATCATGAAGAGTATCGTACTAGCTTTCAATACGAACTTTTTACAACCTATAACTATATAACGGACCAACCATTGCAAGAGTTTCGTTTAAAGATGGAGCTATCGACGCATATCCTCCGTAATTGCTAATTTAGTTGAGACAAAACATGCAGTTTTATAGCAAATTTAGGCAAATATTTAGCTAATGTATATTTGCACACTTTGTAATAATTTTAAATCTCCCTAAAAAGTTGAAACGAACAATGTAATTATACAGCATTTCTTCATAAAAAACCCAAACTAACTATTTTTTATACTGCACTTCAAATGTTGAGCGTTACTAACAAGTTTCTGCATGGCTGTAAGTTAAACGTCTGCACGTATGGGTCTGTTTATATCAAAACGTTAATTAGAGTTGAAATGAATGATCCTGATTCACAGCATTGTTAAAACAATGCAGTTCCACAATGTTGAACGCAGAGTCTTTGAGTACCATTAATCCCTTGATGTATAACGGTCAAGATGACTGTTACAAATGCTAATTTGAGAGAAAAGGAGATTATGAAAAGAAAGAAATGGTATTGACCCTACACAGTTAGATTTCAGTTGTGTTTTAGTTCACTGCAAGTCAAACTTTAAGATTTAGCAAAATTATGAAGACCTCTGTTCCTGTTTTTATCACAATCGTTTTACTTGGCTTGTTAATTTTCATTAAGATGGCACAATAAATTATAAAAAGTGACAAAACTGAAATATCACAAAATGCATAAAGCCTATATCTGCAAAAGCACCTGAATTAACTTAAAAAAATCTCTGCACGGGTTTCCAGTAGGGCCAATAAAAATAATAGCTGAACGTCAGAGACATTTTATGTCGCATTGAAATGCATCATATAGTTAACATTAGAACAAAGACGTTTAAACACCGACATTGAGGACATACATACATGCGTGTGCGGACATGCACGTGCAAACTGAACACTATTTCCCCCATCGTTATCTAGAGATGACAAGATTATCTTTCGTAAACATGTTGGTGCATTTTCCAATACTGTCTTATAAATAACTTGTAATGTAATTAGTCATATCGAACTCCTGCTTGCTGCATGGTATAGTTTTGTTTACGTTCCAAATATATCTGTTGCTTATTCTTTATGCACATTGGTCTATCCGCTGTTTCACACCGTTTATAGTAGAGTTTATTAAACAATTTAAGTATTCAAAAGGTCGTTGAAAAATTAGTCATACACTTGATATCTTACACGAAAGAATAAAAAAGAATAGCAACCAAAACTGTGAAAAATTCCAAATAAATTCAACAAACGAAATCGTGTAATTTCAGGCAATGATTCCTCGTTGCTTTTTCATTGCAAAAATCCTTCAAAATGTTGAACTCTTAAGTACTTCAAACATCAATCCCATAATGAATTGTAATGACACGCTAAAAACGAAGAACATCTTATGTCTTTCGAAAATGGCTGAACGTGATAAATCACAGCCTTTTAATTCAAAATCCAAACAGAAAGTATTTTCTCGACCGAACGTTCAAAAGTTAAACCTATACTAGCTACCGAGCTTCTGGGTGTAAAACGTTTGCAAGTATCGGAAGGTTTACAAATGTAAAAACGTTGACTAGAAGTGACATGTATCAGATCATGAATTCACAATGTCGAACAATACCGTTGCACATTGTTGCACATAAAAAAGTTTTATTGTTTAGCTCAATTATCATTTGACTTAAAATTACAGTCAAATTAAAATAATAAAGGAAGAAAAGCTATTCAACCGACACAGTCAAATTTCAGTTGTGTGTTCAGTTCACTGCAAGTGAAACAGAGATTTAGCTACAATCATGAAGAGGATCGTACTAGCTTTCATTACGAACTTTTTACAACCTATAACTATATAACGGACCAACCATTGCAAGAGTTTAGTTTAAATATGGAGCTATCGACGCATATCCTCCGTAATTGCTAATTTAGTTGAGACAAAACATGCAGTTTTATAGCAAATTTAGGCAAATATTTAGCCAATGTATATCTGCACACTTTGTAATAATTTTAAATCTCCCTAAAAAGTTGAAACGAACAATGTAATTATACAGCATCTCTTCATAAAAAACCCAAACTAACTATTTTGTATACTGCACTTCAAATGTTGAGCGTTACTAACAAGTTTATGCATGGCTGTAAATTAAACGTCTGCACGTATGGGTCTGTTTATATCAAAACGTTAATTAGAGTTGAAATGAATGATCATGATTCACAGCATTGTTAAAACAATGCAGTTCTATAATGTTGACCGCAAAGAGTCTTCAAGTAGTCAAGATGACTGTTACAAATGCTAATTTGAGAGAAAAGGAGACTATGAAAAGGAAGAAATGGTATTGAGACGACACAGTTACATTTCAGTTGTGTTTTTAGTTCACTGCAAGTCAAACTTTATAATTTAGCAAGAATTATGAAGACCTCTGTTCCTGTTTTCATCACAATCGTTTTACTTGGCTTGTTACTTTTCATTAAGATGGCACAATAAATTATAAAAACTGAAATATCACAAAATGCATAAAGCCAATATCCGCAAAAGCACCTGAATTAACTTAAAAAAATCTCTGCACGGGTTTCCTGTAGGGCCAATAAATGTAATAGCTGAACGTCAGACATTTTACGTCGCACTGAAATGCATCATATAGTTCACATTAGAACAAAGACGTTTAACCACTGACCTTGAGCACATACATACATGCGAGTACGGACATGCACGTGCAAACTGAACACTATTTCCCCCATCGTTTTAAATTCTTGTTATCTAGAGATGACAAGTTTATATTTCGTAAACATAATGCTGCATTTTCCAATACTGTCTTATGAATCATTTGTACTGTAATTATTCATAACGAATTCTTACTTGCTGCATGGTATAGTTTTGTTTACGTTCCAAATATATCTGTTGCTTATTCTTTATGTACATTGGTCTATCCGCTGTTTCACACCGTTTATAGTAGAGTTTATTAAAAAATTTAAGTATTCAAAAGTTCGTTTCGAAACTAATCATACACTTGACATCTTACACGAAAGAATAAAAAAGAATAGCAACGAAAACGGTAAAAAATTCCAAATAAATTCAACAAACGAAATCGTGTAATTTCAGGCAATGATTCCTTGAAATGAAAAGGATCGTACAAGCTTTCCTTACGAGCCTTTTACAACCTATACTATATAACGGACCAACCATTGCGAGAGTTTAGTTTAAATATGGAGCTATCGACGCATATCCTCCGTAATTGCTAATTTTGTTGAGACAAAACATGCAGTTTTATAGCAAATTTAGGCAAATATTTAGCCAATGTAAGTTTGCACACTTTGTAACAGTTTTAAATCTCCTAAAAGTTGAAATGAACAATGTAATTATACAGCATTTCTTCATAAAAACCAAACTAACTATTTTGTATACTGTACTTCAAATGTTGAGCGTTACTAACAGGTTTATGCATGGCTGTAAATTAAACGTCTGCACGTATGGGTCTGTTTATATCAAAACGTTAATTAGAGTTGAAATGAATGATCATGATTCACAGCATTGTTCAAACAATGCAATTCCACAATGTTGACCGCTTAGAGTCTTTAAGTAGTTTAACAAGTACCATTAATCTTTTGACGTATACGTAACGGTCAAGATGACTGTTACAAATGCTAATTTGAAAGAAAAGGAGACTATAAAAGGGAAGAAATGGTATTGAGACGACACAGTTACATTTCAGTTGTGTTTTTAGTTCACTGCAAGTCAAACTTTAAGATTAAGCAAGAATTATGAAGACCTCTGTACCTGTTTTATCACAATCGTTTTACTTGGATTGGCCTGTGTGTTTGGTAAGTACTTTTGAATTTTACTTTAATATCAGAGTGCGGTTTTGCATGAGCTAGAAGGGTAGCGACAAAAATCTTTAGTGATTTAGACACACTATAGAATAAAGTCATTTTTCAATTCTTTTCATAATCAAGTTGCCAGTCGTGTTGCGACTGAAAGATATTCCAGTATCTTGAACTAATTGTTTTTAAAATAATTAGTAAATAAACTTTTCATTTGATCGTGATCATTTGACAAATGTATTTTTATTCATACTTTTTTAGCAGCTCATCCTCGCAATGGTAAAGTGTATGATGCGATTTTCTCCGACAATGAACTGATGAAACGTGATGCAGGTTATTATTACTCCTTACTAAACCTACCTGTATAAACAGGAAACAATGACACATCACAAGATAAATGCCACTTCAATACGATCATTCTCATATTAAACAAAGTTTGTGACTAAGACCGTAAGAGTTACATTAAGTAGAGAGACTAGTGCATATGAAACGTTTTCCTTGGAAACATCGTATTGGCCATCACGAGTTAGCCCTATCTTGTAATGTACAGTGAATATTGCACACATTAAGCATGCGCTTTAGTCTCTCGACGAAATGCCGTCTACATGCGTGATACCTTACAAGCGGACTTCATTAGTAGCTATATATCGTTACGTCATTTATCATAACATTATCGCAGATACTTTCTATATTAAAAATTTTAGGCAAGTGCAACACACAGGTATTCTATAAAGGCAGACGCGTCATACACAGATTAGATTGTGGTTATTATGGAATAAACCGGGCAAAATGTCAATCATATGGCTGTTGTTTTGACAGTAGAAAACGATGGCAATACAACTGCTTTTTCAAAGGTACGAAGAACCACAACATTCAACCATGAATATTTTATCTTTATCGATACACATCTCATATTCCCCATTGCTCTTAGCAATAAAACACAACAGCACAGTGTGGTACACTTCAGTACGGCATTCTACAATACAGTAGGGTAAAATATAGTACCCAAAAATATGTTAAACTCCTTTTAATAACATCGCTTTCTTGGTCTTTACTTAGAAATATCGGACCTCTGTCTTTTTGTACAGACCGAGCCTCGTACTAATGTCTCGGTCTGTACAAAAAGACCTCGGTCCGTTATTTCTCCGTAAAGACCATGCGCTCGGTTATTAAGGGCTTGGTAATAAAAATAACCTGTTTGTTATCTCAGGCCAGCATCAAATTCAAACCTCTTGAAATCAAATTTCAAGTATTTCTACAGAGTCTTCAACAATGTTTGTTTACCATGCATACCACCATATGTACATAACTACCACCTGTAATTCTACACAACATCTAATACATATCTTTTCTATTATAGTTCGTCAATGCACTAAAATAAAACCAGAACATCGTCTAGATTGTGGTTATTATGGAATCACAGAAAGACAATGCAGATGGAAAGGCTGCTGTTTTGATAGAAAATATAAAAACAAATTCAACTGTTTTTACCAAAGTAAGTACACATCATTTTCTTTTTTTATATTATTATATAAAACTTTAATTCAGCTTTACATAAATATAGACTTGTCGGCTATTTGCGTAAATTTTGCCTAGTCGTTTTTCTTTAATCATCACCCATGACATATTGTGAAATATTAATTATCAGATAGTTTGCATGACTACGTGAATTTTGATTTCAAATATACAGGACATTGCTTTAGAAAAACCTCTAACAAATAGAACAAATCATGCAGGGGATTTTTAAAGAAATCTTTCCTAGCGGCGGGGGTTATTTTTTAACAGCCTGTGATATAGCTCACTATAATTTCTTCGAACCAATTTCAAGACCGATAAGTTTGCTATATAGTTAAAAGATGCCCTGAAATAAATATTGCAGCTTAATATTCTAAATATGAGTTTGCACCAATATGTATATATAGGTAGTGCCTGCGATGTTGTCAAAGCAAACGAAAGAATAGATTGTGGTTGGTATGGAATAACTAAAAGCCAATGTGAAAGAAAAGGATGTTGCTACGATAAAAGTATTCTTCATGCCAAGCACTGCTTTTACAAAGGTACAGTGTTTTATGTTCCTCCTTAGTGATCGGGCATTTCAAGTTTGTTTCTCCATTTTACAGTGCAAGTTAACACTTGCATATCTGCTTTTGACAAAACTACCCCAAGAGAGATATAAATCAAAACTAATAACAAATTGTCTATAATCCACTTCATGTAAATGAAATAGCGACATGAAACTAATTTACCTTTTCATTTTCTTTTAGGAAGTCTTTAAGTGAGGATTCTTCGTTCGCACGAACGATTAATAATCTTGTAGTATAGTCGTAGTCAAATATACTCTCTTGTCATGGCATTGTTAACGTTCGTTTTTCATTAAAGTTCTATTAGTTTATGAAATGTTTGCCTATTTTGGAAAGGAGTCCCAATTCACAAACAAACTAAATGAAACTAAACCACAACTCCACAAACCACAAACATGAGAATTTTTTCTATTTCACAAACAGCGGAATTGTTTGTGAAATATAACATTGCATCGCTTGCTTTCTTCATTTTCACAAACACCAGCATTCCAATTAAGCGCCATGTTGTATTAGATTCATTTGAAAGCGATGCTTAAAATGGGGACTGTGAAAGTATCTTGGCAGGTAATGAAACAAATAACAGGCTCATTACGGTCTTATAAGGCCAACCTTTTGCGAGAAAAGTTGCTTTGACGGGATATTTTAGTGGAACTCAAAAGTAAAACTTTCAGACCGAAAATAGGAGTATGACATGAGTAATCTTTTTTGTTCGTTTGAATATAACACTTGAGCATTCTAACATCATCAACATCCATGACGCTACCGAAAAATTCAGACGAACTTTCAAAACTTGCATTTAAACAACAAGTGGCATATAATCACCAATATATTCACGCGTTGAAAAGTCTTTTTCGTGCAAAGTCATAACATACGAGTTTATCGTTGGGAGTCTTTGCCAGGTTTCAAAGGGTTGCGCAATAATTGCAATAATTTGCATGGCCCTTGTTAACAAGGTTTATTAAACAATTTAAGTATTCAAAAGGTCGTTGCAAAATTAGTCATACACTTGATATCTTGCACGAAAGAATAAAAAAGAATAGCAACGAAAACTGTGAAAAATTCCAAATAAATTCAACAAACGAAATCGTGTAATTTCAGGCAATGATTCCTCTTTGCTTTTTCATTACAAAAATCCTTCAAAATGTTGAACTCTCAAGTACTTCAAACATCAATCCCATATTGAATTGTAATGACACGTA